TTTAGTGTACGATCTTTTAGTGAAAATTCTAATATTTTGTTTTGCGTACCAATCTGAAGTTAAATTATATTTTCTTACATTTCTATTCACATTAGCATCCTCGTTTTGTAAACGCTGTAAAATAGCGAACAAAATAAAATTTTGAATGTTTAATGTCGAAAGGTAAAATAAAATCAACTTCGAACAACTTTTCCATCGAAAACATATTTTCTGTAATATGGAGTGAGATAAATGTTTAGATTTTTTTAATCATAAGAAATCATTTTTAAAAATAATTGAAACCAGTTGGTCAAAACATTCACAAAATAAAGGTGCCGTGATTTTCTTCAAATTATTGTGTGAAATTAAATCGTAATTGTTATAATGATATTTGAAACCATCTTCCCATCAAATTATTATTTTTAATTCCTGGAAAAATCCCAGTGAAATAACTTGTCAAGTTTTTCGTAGCACCGTGAGTTATGTGAAACAACATTCAACAAAATAAAGTTGTTGATAATGTTAATAATTTTAATTATTTTCGTGTACGAGCTTTTAGTGAAAATTAAAAAAAATTATTTTGTCTACCAATCTGAAGGAAAATGATATTTGCTGCGATTTTTAAATTTCTGTTCACAGAAAGATCTTCATTTTGTAAACGCAGTAAAATAGCAAATACAACAATATTTTGAATGCTTAATGTAGCAAAGTACAATAAAATCAACTTCTAATGATTTTTCCATCAAAAACATATTTTCTGTAATACTATCGAGTGTTTAGATTTTTTTATTGTAAAGAAATCATTTTATAAAAATAATTCAAAACTGTGGGTCAAAACATTCAGAAAATACAGGTGCCGAGATTTTCTTCAAATTATTAAGTCAAATTAAATCGTAATAGTTATAATCGTATTTGATAAGATCTTTCCATTAAATTAATGATAGAATTATTTTTAATTCCTGGAAAAAAACCCAGCGAAATAAATTGTCAACTTTTTAATAGTACTGTGGTTAAATAAAATAACATTCTACAGAAATAAAGATGTGCAGATTTTTTTAAAAATCGATTTAAAAAAAAGCTTTTACTTTTCAAAAATTTCAAATGTAATGTTATAAAATTATTAAAATTATTAAAATTCCTGTGCAACGTTCTCAAAAGTAAGTTAAATTTTAATGAATGGATTTTAACACTTCTATTTACCGAAAGATCCTCATTTTATAAACGCTGGAAGACAGCGAAAACATTTTTGATTTTTTGAACAATGAAATCAGCTTCTAACCCTTTTTCCATAAAAAGAAAATTTTCTGTCATAACATCGAGTGAGATAAAATGTTTAGGTTTTTAATTGAAAGAAATCATTTTATAAAAATAATTCAAACCAGTGGCTCAAAAAGAGATGAGAGAAAGAGAGAGAGATCGATCGATCGATCGATGCACGGACGGACGGACGGACGGAAGGATGTTGGATGGATGGATGGATGGATGGATGGATGGATGGAGATGGATGGAGGACGGAGGGGGGGGGGCGGAGAGGAGGAGGATGGATGGATGGATGGATGGATGGATGGATGGATGGATGGATGGTGGATGGATGGATGGATTCATAGATGAAAGATGGATGGATGGATGGATGGATGGTTGGGTGTGATGGATGGATGGATGGATGGATGGATGGATTCATAGATGGATGGATGGTTGGATGGAAGGATGGATGGATGGATGGATGGATGGATGGATTGATTGTTGGATGGATGGATTCATAGACGGACGGACGGACGGACGGACGGACGGACGGACGGACGGACGGACGGACGGACGGACGGACGGACGGACGGACGGACGGACGGACGGACGGACGGACGGACGGACGGACGGACGGACGGACGGACGGGCGGACGGACGGACGGACGGACGGACGGACGGACGGACGGACGGACGGACGAAAGAGAGAATGAATGAAAGAGAGAGAGAGAGTGTGAGAGAAAGAGAGTGAGAGACTTCCCCAGGAATGTCATCGTTGGTTTAGGCGTCTCTGGGTCTAGACCAGCCAGTGTTAATATGTAATTTAGCACCTATCATCCCTTGCTCACACTCCTTAATACTTCACACCTCCTTTTAACACCTACTTCCCCAGGAATTATGTTGGGAAATTAAATGTTAGAGTCCGTTTTTGATAAAGAAAGCATATGTTATTTTTTCCCTAATAATCTATGATGTATTATTTCTTCCAGTTTCGTTTTTACAAATGAGAAAAGAGAAAAAATGTAGATTAACAACAAGCTGTGTCCCTCAACAGCCCTGATTAACCAGCCCTCTGCAATTTCTCACAAAATGCAGCAAACTTCTCTACAATTTTTGGTAAATATTTCCACACTTTTCTATTGGCCCAGGCTATGAGCAATAGTTAGACAATCTCTACAGGACAAGTCGAAATCTGTAGCTTAGAGTTTAGTGCACTCGCCTTGCAAGTGAGAGGACCTTGGTTTGATTCCTGGGCAGGACAAACCCTTACTCCACACGTTTACCCAGCAGTAAGCAGGGTAGGAGGATTGAAGGATCACTCTTCCAATCTTCCCTTCAAAAAAATTTGGTCACTCAATCCACGACTGTTTGTGGGCACATCTATGAGAAGTGCACGTGTCTTGAGTCACTCCAGCTCAGGGTTTTTGACTTGGCTGCTGTGTTTCGCCCACAAAATACACTTTGCAGCATATTCTGTGAAATGCTTTGAGATGTCTCAAAGATGTGAAGGATTATTATTATATGTTTTCCATTTTCCTGTTAAAAACATTTATTAAGGCTTTGACCAGTGGTTTTCGACCTGGCTCAGGGGTGCTGTGAGGGTCTGCACGCAGTACAATAGAGACCGGGGGCTAAGTGGTGTTATTCAGTGTCCCTTGGCCTAACTCCCCACCATTAGCAGGTGACATCCAGCCATTCGGCCCCTGCTCTATCAAACTGCATCCCAGAGTCTCCCCTCCCTCCCTCCTCCAAGACCATCTCAAAACGTCTCTTAAAATGAGCTTTCAGTTGTCATCTTCCATCGCCCTCCCANCCCCCCACCCCCGGTTTGAGGAATGATTACTATCGTGGTGAGACTGACACTGATACTGGGTTAATGTAAACTGTGGTTTGTTGGATTTTGCTCTTTTTTCACAGGAGAGAGAAATGTCAGTATCTCTCTTACAGCCTCCTCCCCTCCAACACCACACACAGACACATACACCATACACACCACAAACAGACACCATACACACCACACACAGACACATACACCATACACACCCACACAGACATATACACCATACACACCCACACAGACATATACACCATACACACCACACATATACACCATACACACCACACACAGACACCATGCACACCACACACGCATACACATCACCCACACACAATAACAACAAAATGACATTTGTAAAGCCCTTTCACGTCTGGAGGACGTCCCAAGGCGCTGAACAGACAGTGTTTTGGACCCGAGCCGGGAGTCAGGATCAGGGAGGGTGGAGAGTGGGGGAGAATCAGGATGATCAAAGGCATGGTCGAAGAGATGGGTTTTAGAGGGGGTGAGGTGGAGGGCCTGCGGGGTGGAGTTTCAGAGAGAGGGGGCAGAGTGGCTGAAGGTCCGCCCGCCAATGGTGGAGCGAGCAAAGCAGGGGATGTGAAGGCCGGAGCTCTTTGAGTGGAGGGAGCGAGCAGGTTGTTAGGGGGTTAGGAGGTGGTAGAGATAGCGGGGAGCGAGACCATGAAGGGCATTGAAGGTGAGGATTTTGAACTGTATGCTCTGTGTGATGGGAAGCCAGTGGAGTCGGGCGAGGATGGGGGAAATGGGGTCACGGAGTTTGGTGCGGGAGAGGACACGAGCTGCAGAGTTCTGGATGATCTGCAGCCTATGGAGGGAGGAGTTGGGAGCCGACAAGCCGGGAGTTTGCATAGTCGAGCCTCAATGTAATGAAGGTGTGTGTGAGGGTCTCGGGGGCTGCGGTGTGAGACAGTGGCGGAGCCGGGTGATGTTACGGAGGTGGGGAAGGCAGAGCGGGACACGGCGTGGATGTGGGGTAGGAAGGATAGTTGAGGGTCAAACAAGACCCAGGTTCTGGACTGGCTCAGAGAGGGGAAGTGAGCCCCATGGATGGTGATGCTGTCAGTGTCTGAGGTGAGGAGGCGCTGACGGAGCCAATCAGGAGAGCCTCGGTCTTTTTGACATTCAACTGAAGAAAGTTAGTTCTCATCCAGGACTTGATGTCTGTTCCTCCATTCCTCTGGCTCCGGCCTGCTCCACATCCCCCGCCCCAAACCGTCCTACCATCGGTGGCCGGGCCTTCAGCCTCTCAGCCCCGAGGCTCTGGAACTCCATCCCCCAGTGCCTTCGCCGCTTCCTCCCTTTGCTCCTTCAAGGTCGGTCTCAAGACCTTTCTCTTTGACCGAGCCTTCAGCTCCCCTCTCGACTCTCTACCCCTCCTCGCTCCCTCCCTTCCCTCCCCTCACCCTGACCGTTTCCCCCTTCCTCGCTCCCTCCCTCCCCTCCCCTCACCCTGATCATTTCCCCCTTCTCGCTCCCTCCCTTCCCTCCCCTCACCCTGACCATTCCCCCCACCTGCTCGGGTCCTGACCCAACTGTCCAGCGCCTTGGGATGTTCTCCCGACGTGAAAGGTGCTCTATAAATGAAATCTTATTGTTGTTGTCTGACAGACATTCTGTCAGGACAGCAGTGGGTCCTGGAGTCGAGGATGAAGGCAGAGAGGCAGAGTTGGGTGTCGCCCACATACATGTGGAAGTTGACCCCATGTCTGGATGATGTCACCACCACTCACATCACTCACATATAGAGACACACCACATACACCACTCGCACACAGACACAACACTCATACACCTCATTCACACCCACACCCACACCATGCACTCATCACTCACACACCACTAATTCTCAGTGTGAATTGTAACAGGTGGGTGATTTGCAGAGGACAAGGAGAGTTGGTGAATTGGTTGCATTTTATGTTGTTTTATTAATCTCTACAATACACCGGTTTATTATGAACAACCACAACAACAATTAGCATCTAGACAGCGCCGCTCAGGCAGGAAAGTGCCAGAGCTCTTTAATCTCTACACCATGAAGCTCTCAGGGTGATCAAGTTGAAGGTGATCTTTCTATGCCTTGGCAGAGTGTCCCTGCATACCATGGACTATTTTCTTTGCTGACAGCAGTTGATTGCTTTGTTCTGACAGATGTTGTTCTGAGCACTTATTCTCGCATTTTAACTGTAAAATCAAGAAATTCCAGCTTCAGGAAGAGAGAATTTGCACTTTTATCACGTCCCAATTTGCACCCAATGACTTTCACATCAGGAGAACATCCCAAACGCTGGACAGTCAGGGATTTGGACTCGAGCTGGGGGCTGAGATCAGGAGGGGTGGAGGGCAGGGAGGGTCGAGGTAGGAGGGTGACTGAAGGTTGAAGAGGAGGGTCTTGAGATAGGCAAGGGAGGGAGTGAGGCGAAGGGATTGTGGGATGGAGTCCAAAGGGTGGAGGCAGAGAGGCTGAAGGTCTGACCGCCGATGGTGGGGCAGGGCTGAGGTGGTGTTAGTAGGTGGTAGAGACAGGGTGTTGCAACAACCACAACTTGCATTTATATAGAGCCCTCACTCGGGTAGTGTCCCAGAGCAGTTGAGACCATGGAGCTGAGGTCAAGGATCTTGATGAATCCTTTGGGGGATGGGGAGCCAGTCAAGCTGGGTGAGGGCGAGAGGGTCATAAGGCTGATCATCCCATCCTTGTCCCACAAACAGCCATGAAGTGAATGAGAGGTTTTGTTTGGAGGATTGTCGGCCAGGACACTGGGAGAGAGACAGAAACTCCTTTCTCTTTTCCAATGGTGCAGGGGGATCTTTAACATCCACCTGAACAGACACAGCTGGGGGAGCCCTGCATTATCAGAGTTGCTATCCTTCATTAAAGGACGTTAAACTGAGGTCCCATCTGTCTGTTCAGGTGGACCTTAAAGATCCTGCGGAGTTTCTCTCTCCTGGTGTCCCTGGTCAACAATCCCCAAATAAAATTTGGTCACTCACTACATCACTGTTTGTGAGACATTGCTGTGTGTATTGTCTGCCCCATTCATCTACAAAAAATGTACAGTCACTGCACTTCACAGTAAAAGCTCTCCCCCTGACATAAAGGAGCAATATCAAAAGTGCAGATTATTATTATTGTTATTATTATTACTGTGCTACAGAGTCAGTCTGCACTGTCAGCTCAAAGGCATTGAGTATAAAAACAAAGTTACACTGAACCTTTACAAATCACTGGTTAGGCCTCAGCTGGAGTGTGGCAGCACACTTTAGGAAGGATGTCAAGGCCTTGGAGAGGGTGCAGAGGAAATTTACTAGAATGATACCAGCGATGAGGGACTACAATTATGCGAAGAGACAAGAGAAGCTGGGATTATTCTCCTTGGAGCAGAGAGGGTTGAGGGAGATTTAATAGAGGTGTTCAAAATAATGAGGGGTTTTGATAGAGTAGATAGGGAGAAACTGCTTCCTCTGGCGGGTGGGGCAGCAACCAGGATACAGATTTAAGGTAATTGACAAAAGAACCAGCAAAAGACGAGGAGACTTTTTTTAACCCAGAGAGTTGTTGCGGTCTGGAATGCACGGACTGAAAGGGTGGTGGAAGCAGATTCGATAATAACCTTCAAAAGGGAATTGGTTGGCACTTGAAAATGAAGAATGTGCAAGGCTATTGGGGCAAGAGCGGGGGAGTGGGACTAGTTGGTGGCTCTTTCAAAGAGCTGACACAGGCACGATGGGCTGAATGGCCTCCTTCTGTGTTGTAAGATTCTATTATTCTATGAACCACCGGAATCAACTCACCGTGTCAGGCAGAGCTGAACTCATCATTAATGAAAAATGTGCTTACCAGACGCCTGTCTTGCAGATGGCCAGGGCAGCTGGTGTTTCACTGGAGGTGAAGCAACAATTTACATTTTATTAACTGTTCCTTTTTATAAAAATTGCATTTGATGTCATTGTCTTATCATATCATTGAGAAGTCTCAAAGCGCTTCACAGGATACACTGTAAAGTGGATTGACTGTATTTGTGGGTGAAACCCAGCAGCCAATTGCGCACAGCAGTAGCCCACAAATAGTCGTGGATTGAGTGACCAATTTTATTTGGGGGATTGTTGGCTTGGACACTGGGAAAGAGAAACTCTCTTCTCTTTTTGAATAGCACTGTGGGATCTTTAACGTCTCATCTGAAGGCAGCACCTCCGACAATGCAGCACTCCCTCCCCCCCCCAGCACTGCATTGGAGCGTCAGCTTATACTGTGTGATTCCAATTCTGACGGTGGGGTGAGTCGGCGGGGCGGAGAGTGAGTGGGCGGAGCAGAGAGTGAGTGGGCGGAGCACACAGTGAGTGGGCGGAGCAGAGAGTGAGTGGGCAGAGCGGAGAGTGAGTGGGCGGAGCACACAGTGAGTGGGCGGAGCGGAGAGTGAATGGGCGGAGCAGAGAGTGAGTGGGCGGAGCAGAGAGTGAGTGGGCAGAGCAGAGAGTAAGTGGGCGGAGCATAGAGTGAGTGGGCAGAGCACACAGTGAGTGGGCGGAGCAGAGAGTGAGTGGGCGGAGCACACAGTGAGTGGGCGGAGTGGAGAGTGAGTGGGCAGAGCAGTGAGTGAGTGGGCGGAGCACGGTGAGTGGGCGGAGCAGAGAGTTAGTGGGTGGAGCAGAGGATCCAGGCTGGAGAAGATCACTTTAACACTGGATCCATCCACATTGCCAGACTGAGATGGATAGATATTTGTCAGGTTGGGGTATCAAGGGATAAGGGCAAAGGTGGGTAATTGGAGTTGAGGTACAGATCAGCCATGAACTAATAGAATGGTGGAACAGGCTTGAGGGGCTGAATGGCCTCCTCCTGTTCCTATGTTCCTACATTGATTTTTGTTTGCCCAGCCAGGTATCTGACACACGCGGAAACCCATCACCATGATTAAGGGTCTCCAAACCAAGCTGAGAATTCCAAGCATCCCACCCACACATGGAAATCCCAGAGATAGATTGTTGGAATGGAATCCACACTCTCTCTCTCTCTCTCTCTCTCCCCCTGGAGGGACACATCTTGCTTACCTAATTCCGGAGAGTATTAGCTTCAGGTTGGCAAGAGCCAAGACTTGGGGGGACCCCAGACTGTTCGTTAGGGTAATTGCTGGAGCCTAACCAGCTAAAACCACATAACTTGCCATTGATATCAATGTCTGTCCAGCTTTCCTGCTGCTTGTCCAGTTAGGACCACCCTACCCGTTAGTTAGGGCTTTGACTGCAGGGTTAACAGGAGCCGAATGAGAGGTTCCCTGCCCCCAGTGACTGCTCCAGGTCCTCCATACCTAAATGGAGAGATTGCACTGAGACGCCCTCTGGGTTCATGACAATGCAGGTGAAGTTGGTGTGGAAATCTTCAGACTTGATCTGGGTGAAAAGCAGGTTCCTCTTGACAAAGTTTTGTCCATTTTTAGTGTGGAAACTGGGAGGAGAAAATATACCCACAAGATATACAGTCATTACACTACAGTATATTCTGTGAAGCGCTTTGAGGGATGACCAATTTTTTTTGAGAAATTAAAATCCCCCTGGAAAAGTGATCCGCCAATGGACCAATCGTGTTCCTACTTACTGCTGGGTAAACAGAGGCATGTAGAGTAAGGAAACTTGCTGACCTTATGCCCTGCCCAGGAATTGAACCCAGGTCCTCTCGCTTGCGAGGCAAGTGCTCTAACCACTGAGCTACAGGACCCCATGAGGGTTGGGATCAGGAGGGCAGGAAAGGTCAAGGTCGAACACAAGAGTCTTCAGACGTGACTTAAAGAGACAAGGGAGGGGACGAGGTGAAGGAATTGTGGGATGGAGTTCCAGAGGATGTGGGCAGAGAGACTGAGTATGATGCTGAGCCGGGGGGAGAGGGAGGTGACCATAGGCACGGTCAAAGAGGAAGGTCTTTAGGTGTGACCTGTAGATGGGGAAGGAAGGGGAAAGGCGGAGGGTTAGAGGGACAGTATTCCAGAGTTTAGAGGTCGAGTGGCTGAAACTCTTGTTGGAATGGAGGGTACAAGCGACAAGCATCAACAACAAATTATATTTGTGCAATCCCTTTCACGTCAGGAGGAAGTCCCAAAGCGCTGGACAGTCAGAGATCTGCACCCGAGCTGGTGATTGGGATCAGGAGGGGTGGAGGGAGATTGAAGGCACAGTTGAAGAGGAGGATCTTGAGATGGATCTTGAAGTTGGCAAGGGCAGGGGTAAGGCGGAGAGACTGTGGGATGGAGTTTCAGAGGGTGGGGGCAGAGAGGCTGAAGGCCCGCCCGCCAATGGCCCGCCCAACAAGCAGGGAGTTTGCATAGTCAAGCCTGCATGTGATGAACGTGTGTATGAGGGTCTCGGTGGCCTGCAGTGAGAGACAGTGACGGAGCCAGGTGATGTTGTGGAGGTGGGGAAAAGCAGAGCAGGTCATGGCACAGGTGTTGGGAAGGGCAGTTGAGGGTCAAACAGGATCCCGAGGTTCCGAATTGGCTCCATGAGATGTAGAGTGCATCCCTGAAGGGTGATGCTGTCAGCGCCCAAGATATGGAGGTGCTGATAGGAGCCAATCAGAAGCCTCAATCTTGTTGACGTTCAACTGTAGAAAGTTTGCTCTCATCCAGGACTTGATGTCTGACAGACATTCTGTCAGGGCAGCAGTGGGTCCTGGAGTCGAGGGTGGAGGCAAAGAGGTAGCGTTGGGTGTCATCCGCATACATGTGGAAGTTCACCCCATGTCTACGGATGATGTCATCATGAGGGAGCAGGTAAATGTTGAGAAGGAGGGGACTAAGGACAGAGCCCTGAGGGACGCCACACGTGAAGTTGTGGGGGATGGAGGAGAAGCCGTTAGTGGAGTCAAAGTGGAGATGGTGCGAGAGATAGGATTTGAACCAGACAAGGGCAGGTCCATGAAGGTTTTTTTTTTAACCTTGCATTTGATATAGCGCTTTTCACGTCGGGAGAACGTCCCAAAGTGCTTCACAGAACACACTATAAAGTGAATTGACTGTATATTTGTGGGCGAACGGGGCAGCCAATTGCGCACAGCAATGTCCCACAAACAGTCATAGATTGAAAATGACCAATTTATTATTGTTTTTTTTGGTTTTTTGGAGGGATTATTATTAGGCTCTGTGTGGAGTAAGGAAACTTGCCCAAGGTTTTGCCCTGACCTGCCTGGAATTGAACTCAGGTCTCTCACTTGCAAAGCGAGTGCTCTAACCACTGAGCTACAGGACTCCACGTTGAGCTGAGAGGAGAGACGGTGGAGGAGGATAGAGAGGTCAACAGTGTCAAAGGCAGCAGAGAGGTTAAGGAGGACAAGGCGGCAGAGAGAGCCCTGGTTGTAGATGGACAGAATGTCATTAGTGACTTTGACCAAAGGTGTTTCTGTGCTGTGGGCAGTTGAGTAGAGACAACGGGTGGTGGAGTGGGGGCTAAGCAGGTCAGAGAGGGAGAGAGATGCCAGGGCATGAAGGGATTTGTAGACGAATGAGAGGATCTTGAACTCGATCCATTCAGTGAAAGGCAGCCAGAGGAGCCTGGATAGAATGAGTAGAAAACACAGACACTCGCTTGAGAGGTGAGCACACTACCCACTATGCTACGGGACTTCACAAAGCAGTGTCATGCGTAAATTTAACTTGGGACATCCATGCTATTGTCCAATACTTACCTCTCATTGCTCTCTCTCACTCTCATGTCTGTAAACTTATCTTCGATGAATTCCTGGTTGGCAAGCCAATAAATTATTGTGGAGAAACTGTCAGAGAAGCTGGTGAGGGCTTGACAAGGCACCTCCAGATATTGACCTGCAGAGAGAGAAACATAATAATAATAAATATAGCAATAATAATCATTGCATTTGATACAGCACCTTATCACGTTGGAAAGACACTTCAAAACAGGATTTAGTGTGAAATGAAGTGACTGTGTATTTTTTGGGTGAAACGTGGCAGCCAATTGGGCACAGCAGAGTCCCGCAAACAGTTACAAAATGAATGACCTATGTTTTTATTATTTGGGGGATTGTTGGCCTGGACACTGGGAGAGAAACTTCCTTCTCTGTTTCGAATAGTGCTGCAGCATCTTTAACGTCCACCTGAACAGGCAGACAGGGACCTCAATTTAACATCTCATCTGATGGTCGCCACTTCTGATAATGCCTTCAGTAGCGTCTTATTACATTGAGACGTCTCAAAGCTTCACAGAATAGAACAACAACTTGTAGTTACACAGCACCCTTCACACAGGGTAGAGTCGCTGAGCACATGTCAGTGGCGGTGCACGAAGCCGAGTTGGGGAGAAGGTGACTGTAGGCACATTTGAAAGGGAAGGTGCGATCTGAAGATGAGGAAGGAGGGGGCAAGGCAGAGTGATAGAGGAAGAGTGGTCCAGAGTTTCGGGGCATAGTGACTGGAAACACGGCTACAAATGGTGGAACGAAGGGCTGGAGGAACATCCAGGAGCCCGGAGCCAGTTGAGCATAGGCAGCAGGTAGTGGATTAGAGAGTGAGTAGATCAAAATATACTGTAAAGTGCAGTGATTGTGTATTTTGTAGGCGAAACGTGGCAGTCAATTAGATAGAGAGGTGTTCCACACACAGTCGTGGATTGAGTGACCAGTTGATGTTATTTTGGCGGGGGAATAGGCAGTGAGTTACTAGTAAAGAAGGAAGAAGTGGAAGAGAGAGAACCCGCCATGTTAGTCAGGGAGAGGGAAAGGACTATAGTTACCCAGTTGAGCTGTGAACAGCTTGTGACGTGGGATAAGGATTTTCGGAGCTGTAACAGGAACACAAATATAGAGGTCAGACGTCGTGAGGTTAGAGGTCAGTCAGATACTGAGTGGTCAGACACCAACAGCTCAGATACAGAGAGGTTAGAGGTCAGATACCAAGACGTTCGTGTTCAGATACCAAAAGGTCAGATACAGAGAAGTTAGAGGTCAGATACTGAGAGGTTAGAGGTCAGATACCGAGAGGTCAGAATGGAGAGGTTGGAGGTTAAATACCGAGAGGTTGGCTGAGCTCTCCTGAAACCCAGGTAATGAGGAGGCAGCTCAGCAGGGCCAGCGAGTGGGCAAGCAGACCTCGTGGCCCTGAACACAAAGGAAACAAGCTGTTTAGTAATTCTCGCCACGGTGAAGGCTCCAGCCTGCTCTAGAGGGGCTGAGATTCTCACTTACTCAGACATTGTGTCGGTCACACATAATAATAATAATAATAATCCTTGCATTTGATACAGCACCTTATCATGTCTTCAAGACTTCTCAAAGCGCTTCACAGCATATACTGAAAAATTTGGTGACTGTATATTTCGTGGACAAAACCCAGCAGTCAATTGCGCACAACAGTGTTCCACAAGCAGTCGTAGATTGAAGTGACCAAATTATTATTAGTAATATTTTTTAAGAGATTATTACACCCTGAAAGCAATCCACCAATCGACTAACAACAGAGCTCCTACATACTGCTGGTAAACAGAGGCTTGTGGAGTAAGGATACTTACCTAAGGTTTTGACCTGCCCAGGAATCAAACCCAGGGATCTAACCACTACACTACAGGACTCCACACTGCACTACAGGACTCCACACTACACTACGGGACTCCACACTAAACTATAGGACTCCACACTACACTACGGGACTCCACACTAAACTATAGGACTCCACACTGCACTACAGGACTCCACACTGCACTACGGGGCTCCACACTGCACTACGGGACTCCACACTGCACTACGGGACTCCACACTGCACTACGGGACTCCACACTGCACTACGGGACTCCACACTGCACTACGGGACTCCACACTGCACTACGGGACTCCACACTGCACTACAGGACTCCACACTGCACTCCAGAAGTCCACTTAAAGAAATACAAAACAATAAGCCACTCACCAAGCGAGGAGTTTTGTTTGATGATCATTCCTGAGGCTGCGTTACTCAGTGTTGGTCAATGTGAGAAGCTGTGATTCAGAGTCTCTCACGCTGACAGTGTCTCTTTATATTGCTGTGCAGCCTCCCACCCAAACACATACTTCCTGATTTTGTTTTAGGAACCTTAAATACTCACTTGTGTGGCTGGACAGGGAATTCCGCAGTGCCAGCCACGTGTTTGTGCGTGTGCTGATCCCACCTCACATGGCCCTGGGAGCGAGCAGCTGATTATTATTAATAATAATCCTTGCATTTGATGCAGCGCCTTATCATGTCATTGAGATGCCTGAAAGTGCTTCACAGATTTATACTGTAAAGTGTAGTGACTATGTATTTTATGGGCAAAAACCAGCAGCCAATTGTGGACAGCGGTGACCCACAAACAGTCATAGATTTAGTGATTACAATTTTTGGGGGAGGGATTATTAACCTTGGAAAGCGAACAATAAATCAAATAAATCAATACAAATGACAATAATTCTGAGCTATAATAAAAATAATGCTTACATCTGGAGGATATCTCAAAGCACTTCACATGCTGGGAATCGAACCCAGGTCTTTTGCCTGGGAGACAAATGTTCTAACCACTAAGATACAGGACTCCACACAATCTTAACGCACTAAAAACTTGCAGGTCAGAGAGTTGGGAAGGTGCTAGTGGGTGAAAGGATTCCATATGTCCTGTAGTTCAGGGGTTAGAGTGCTTGTCTCACAAGCCAGAGGAACCGGGTTCAATTCCCAGGCAGAGCAAAACCTTAGGCAAGTTTTTTTACTCCAGCAGTAAGTAGAAAATTGGTTGTTTTTCAGCGCCTTGGAACGTCATTTTGTTGTTGAGGTTTGGCAGATCACTTTCCGGGGGTAATAATTCCTTCCAAAGAATAGTAAAAATAAATTGGTCACTTCAATCCATGACTGTTTGTGGGACACTGCTGTGTGTTTTACCCACAAAATATACAGTCAATTCACTTTACAGTACATTCTGTGAAGCGCTTTGAGATGTCTCGAAGGTGTGATAAGGCGTTGTATCAAATGCAAGGATTGTGGAGTCCTGTAGCTCAGTGGTTAGAGCATTCGCTTTGCAAGCGAAAGACCTGAGTTCAATCCCAGGCAGGTCAGGGCCAAACCTTGGGCAAGTTTCCATACTCCACACAGAGCCTAATAATAATCCCTCCAAAACCAAAAATAATAATAAATTGGTCATTTTCAATCTACGACTGTTTGTGGGACATTGCTGTGCGCAATTGGCTGCCGCGTTCGCCCACAAATATACAGTCAATTCACTTTACAGTGTGTTCTGTGAAGCGCTTTGGGACGTCCTCCCGACGTGAAAAGCACTATATCAAATGCAAGGATTATTATTCTTAGTAGTAGTAGTAGTAGTATGTGAGGGTGAGAATCTTCATCAGTTTGGGGACAGGGAGCCAATGGAGGAACCTACAGGAACATACAAGACACACGAGAGAAAGGAATATACACAACACGTCAAGATGGAAACATACAGGAAAACAATGGGACCCGCAGTCCCAGGGCGCTGGACAGTCAGGGATTTGGACCCGAGCTGGAGTTTGGGATTAGGAGGGGTGGAGAGTTGTGGTAGGAGGGTGACCAATGGTGCGATCAAAGTGAAGGGTCTTGAGAAGGGCCTTGAAGAAGACCAGGGAGGGGGCGAGGCGGGCGGACTGTGGGTCGAGTTCCAGAGGGTGGGGGTAGAGAGGCTGAAGGCTTGCCCGCCAATGGTGGACATGGACCAGTTTGGAGCCCTCAGAGCAGAGGGAGTGGACAGGTCAGTAGGGAGGAGCAAGGGCTTCGAAGGTCAATGTGAGAACGAGCGAGTGTCTCTGACAGGAATCGGTACAGAGTTCCTCGCAAGGACTCATGGCTTCTTGTTTTGGGAACCGGACAGTCAGGGGGAGGTTGTGAGGAAGGTCACTTTCTGACATCGGAGCCACATTTCCTGGTGAATATCTGACTAAAAATCTGTTCCATTACAGCCACAGGCGTAACTGCTGAGAAACGAGAAGTCCCTGCTTGCTGACTGAAACTCCCCTCAGTGAGTGGGGTCACCCCCCATTACCTTCCTCAATCTCTGGCTGAGTATTCTGGCAATGAGCCAGCGAGGTGGCAATGACTCAGCTCAGGCCGACTCTCCAGTTGGGGGATCCAGGTAAAACCAAGGTCCCCCTGTGGCCTGTTTAATAATAATAATAATCCTTACAAAAAAAAGCAAAATGCAAAGTACTGCAGATGCGGGAAATCTGAAAAAAAAGGTTGCTGGGAATACTTACTTTGTTGTGGACCCGAAACGTTGACTCACTTTCCTTTCTCCATAGATGCTGCCTGACCTGCTGAGTGTTCCCAGCCACTTCTGCTTTTGTTTCCATAACAATCCTTGCAATTGATATAGCGCCTTTACAGATTATACTGGAAAGTGAATAGCTTGTGTGTTTCATGGCCGAAACGCAGCAGCATCCCACAAACAGTCGCGGATTGAGTGACCACAATTTTTTTAAGAGATTATTATTACCCCCCAGAAAGTGATCCACCAATCAACAACCAACTTACTACTTACTGCTAGGGGAACAGAGAAGTTTGTGTGTGTGTGGAGAAAGGGAATTTGCCTAAGGTTTCCTCTGACCTGCCTGGGAATCAAGCTCAGGTCTACTCTCACCACTGAGATACCCAACTCCATTGTTTATGTGGAATGTTGCAACAACAACAACAAAATTATATGTGTTTAGCGCCTTTCACGTTGGGAGAACATCCCAAGGCGCTAGACAGATTAGAGTTGCGGACCCGAGCTGGAGGTCAGGTCAGGGAGGGTGGAGAGCAAGGGGGGAGTAGAGAGATCGAAAGCATGGTCGAAGAGGAGGGTCTTGAGATGGGTCTTGAAGAAGGTGAGGGAGAGGTGAGGCGGAGGGACTGCAGGATACTGTTTGCAAAAGAGAAGGGAGTTTCTCTCATCTGACAATTCCTTCAGACAACAATAATAAAAATAATAATAATCCTGGCCTTTATATAAACACCTTTTTTCTGAAGGGAAAGTGACCTGCCAATGACTAACAACCAGATAAAATTTTACTTTTCAAAATGCCTAAGAAGGAGTAAACTAAAGGATTGCTTTTAAAACAGCCAAAACAGACACGGTGGGGGCCGAACAGACTGAACTGAACATGGCAGCCATTTTTAATTGATTGGTGGATCGCTTTTCCGGGGGTAATAATCTCTTCAAATTAAAATAATAATGTTGTCACTCAAACCACGACTGTTTGTGGGACGCTGCTGTGCGCAATTGGCTGCAGCATTTTGGCCACAAATATAGTCAATTCATTTTACAGTATATTGCATGAAGGGCTTTGAGACGTGTCAGTGAAATGCAAGTATTATTATTATTTTGTCCATACAGCGCAGAGCTGAGGGGTCAGGAAAGTGATTATTGTAGGTCTTGCTGCCTTTGTCACCACTCTGGGGATGTCTGTTCCCTTCTTGCAGTCACGGAAATAGCCTCCCAAAAAGACTTGTGACCAAACTTCTTTTTTGATAACATTTCTTTTTGCACATTCTTTATTCAGACACCAAGGGGTGCTTGCTGGACCGCAGGAGGCACTGAGTACGGGAAGTTTCTGTCTCTAACCGCAACCACAGTGAGGGGAGGACTCAGATCAAACCCCAGCCCTAACCAGCGCAGCCCTCACTTCTTATTGGAGACACGTTTGCAGGAAACCATTACATTTTACTGAGCTTCTTAGAAGTGGAAATTCTGACAATTCTCTTAAATAATAATAAAAGAAAACAGCAGAAAATTTGGAATGGGGAGTGAGCACCAGCAGAGACATGATGGGGAGAGAAAGCAGGGAATGGGGTTAGAGTAGAGAGCTCCAGTGGGGGAGCGAGCCCCAGCACAGACATGATGGGGAGAGAGCAGGGAATGCGGGATTGTATAAGGGTTGGGAATAATAGCCAAACCCAATCTGGTCCCCTTTCTCCCAATGAGGGTGCGGTCACCAGATGGTAATCAAGATTGAAAACTGTCTGGCCAGTTTTCCCGCTGCTTGTCCAGCTAGGACCACCCTACCCGTTAGTTAGGGCTTTGGTTGCAGGGTTAACAGGAGCCGAGTGGGAGGATTCCCTGCCCCCAGTGACTCGTTGGCCCTTCCAGGTCCTACTGATGAACCAGGCCGGGCTGTGCTGTCATCAGCAGTGAGTCCCCTGGAATACTGCAGACAAGAACAACAACAAAATTACATTTGTAAAGTGCCTTTCACGTCGGGAGTTCGTCCCAAGGCCCTGGACAATCAGTGTTTCGGACCAGAGCTGGGGGAGGGTGGAGAGCAGGTGGGGGAAGGAGGGTGATTGAAGACATCATCGAAGAGGAGGGTCTTGAGATGGGTCTTGAAGGTTGCGAGGGAGGAAGCGAAGTGGAGGGACTGCAGGATGGAGTTGCAGAAGGTAGGGGCAGAGTGGCTGAAGGCCCACCTGCCAATGGTGGGGCGGGCGAGGCAGGGGTCATGAAGCAGGCTGGAGCGTGGTGAGCAGAGGGAGTGGGCAGGATGGTAGGGGGTTAGGAGTTGGCAAAGGTAGCGGGGAGCAAGGCCATGGAGAGCTAAGGTGAGGACCAGGATCTTGAACTGTATCCTCTGTGTGATGGGAAGCCAGTAGAGTCGGACGAGGATGGGGGTGATAGGGACACGGAGCCTGGTGCAGGAGAGGACACGGGCTGCAGAGTTCTGGATGATCTGCAGCCTATGGAGGGAGGAGTTGGGGGAGGCCGACAAGCAGAGAGTTTGCGTAGCCGAGTCTTGATGTAATGAAGTCGTGTGTGAGGGTCTCAGCGGCCTGCGGTGTGAGACAGTGATGATGGAGCCAGGCGATGTGGAGGTGGGGGAAGGCAGAGCGGGTCATACCACAGATGTGGGGTAGGAAGGATAGTTGAGCGTCAAACAAGACGCCAAGGTTCTGAACTGGCTTAGCAATGTGGAGTGGATGGTGATGCTGTCGGTGCCTGAGGTGAGCAGGTCCTGACCGGAGCCAATCAGGATGGTAGGGGGCCTCAGTTTTGTTGATGTTCAACTGAAGTTTGCTCTCATCCAGGACTTGATGTCTGACAGACATTCTGTCAGGGCAGCAGTGGGTCCTGGAGTCGAGGGTGGAGGCAGAGAGGTAGAGTTGGGTGTCGCCCACATACATGTGGAAGTTGACCCCATGTCTGCGGATGATAATAATAATAATAATAATAATAATCCTTGCATTTGATATAGCGCTTTTCACGTCGGGAGGACGTCCCAAAGCGCTTCACAGAATAGACTGTAAAGTGAATTGACTGTATATTTGTGGGCGAACGCGGCAGCCAATTGCGCACAGCAATGTCCCACAAACAGTCGTAGATTGAAAATGACCAATTTTATTATTGTTTTTTGTTTTTTGGAGGGATTATTATTAGGCGTGTGGAGTAAGGAAACTTGCCCAAGGTTTCGCCCTGCCTGGAATTGAACTCAGGTCTCTCACTTGCAAAGCGAGTGCTCTAACCACTGAGCTACAGGACTCCACACCATGATGTCACCAAGAGGAGGAATATAGATATTGAAGAGGACTGGACCGAGGACAAAGCCCTGAGGAACACTGCAAGAGATCATCCGGGGGCTACAAGAGAAACTGTTTGTGGAGATGAAGTGGAGGCTGTGTGAGAAGTACGATCTGAACCAATGAAGGTCAGATCCGTTAAGGTGAGAGAAGAGGTGGTGGGTGAGGATTGAGTGGTCGACAGTGTTGAAGGCAGCAGAGCGGTCGAGGACGAGGAGGGAGAGGGAGCCCTGGTCGCAGATGGACAGAATGTCATTTATCACTTTGACCAGGGCTGTTTCTGTGCTGTGGGCAGCACGAAAACCCAATTGGAGGGTTGAGAAGGGAGTAGAGGGAGAGGAAGGAGCGAAGCTGGAAGGCAACGACCAGTTCCAGGACCTTGGAGAGGAAAGGGAGTTTGGAAATGGGGTTGGGGGGTAGTTTGAGAGCAGGAGTGGGTCCAGGAATGTTTTTTTAAGGATAGGAGTGATGATGGCCATTGTTAATGGCATGGGAACAGTACCAGTGGACAGGGATAGGTTTATAATGTCTGTGAATAGAGGGGCAAGGAGGAGGAGCTGGGAAGTAAGGGGTAGGGATGGGTAGGGGCCGGGGTGAGAGGAGACGGGGAGGGGGTAGTAGACGGAAGGGCTGAGGTAGCTGAGCGGATCCCCTTGTCTTAGAATTCGAGAAGGTCCAGCATTGCCTCGCAATTGGTATCGGAGGAGGATGGGCAAGGCATGAGAGGATAGGTTGAAGAGCCTGAGGTTGTCCTTGGTCTCCAAGATTTGCCAGATGTGCCGATGGACTATTAGGTTTGATGCGAGCCTTAAGTGAGCGGAGGTACCAGGGTGACTTTTATGAGTAGAAGACAGTTTGGGAAGAGGGGAGCAAGGGCATCAAAAGTGGAGAGGGAGCTGTGGAGAGTGACCGAGCAGGATAGGTCATTGCAGGAGGATGCTCAGAGGGGATGGAGTTCAGATGCCTCCAAGGCAGCCGGGGGTGGGGGGGGGGGGGGGGGGGGGGAGAGATTCTTCTCCAGGGGTGGTACGAGATAGAGGTGGGTTGGGTACAGTGGGGAGAGAGATTGAGGAGTTAAGGGAGATGAAATGATGGTCCGAGATGGCTTTGTTGGTGATGATGAGGTCCGAGATGGTGAGGCCCCAAGTGATCACCAGGTTGAGGGGGTGACCACGCACATGGGAGCCGGAGTGGATGTACAGGGAGAGATTGAGGGAGAAATCAGCAGTAGAGCAGGAGGGGGTGAAGTAAAGGTTGAAGTTGCCTAGGATGAGGAGGTGTTTGGAGCAGAGGGAGAGGGAAGACAGGAGGGTGGAGATGTCAGGGAGGAAGGTGGGGAGAGCTTGCGGGGGCAATAGATAACGAGAATTTTGAAGGCAAGGTTGAAGGGTGATGAAGGGTAAGATGCTCAAAGGAGGGGAAGATTCCAGAGTCAGCGGACAGGCCGAGCAGGGACCAGGAGATGAGAGCCACACTGCCACCACGGCGGTTAGGTCATGGGATATGTTGGAAGGACCCACCTGGCTCAGGAACCGGACTAGAGACTAACAGAGGGCTGGCTCAATTCCTCAACCTTTCCTCCCTCCCCAACAGAAGAACAGTCACTGGAGGATTACCCTCTGGCTTGACCTCAGGGTACTGAGACTGACTTCTAAATTAGCTGAGCCCAGCCCCTCCCGGGAGCACAGACCCAGGTGTGACTCAGCTCAGTTGTGATCAAACACCAGACTTTAATTGAAAACATCAGGTGGATCCTGTGGCAACAGTTCATTCACTCTCACTCCAGATGTGATTCAGTCCAGAGGTGTCCCTCACTCCAGAGGTGTCCCTCACTCCAGATGTGATTCAGTCCAGAGGTGTCCCTCACTCCAGATGTGACTCAGTCCAGGAGTAGCTCACTCCAGATTTGGTTCAATCCAGGTGTGGTCCTCATTCCAGGTGTGGCTGTCAGCCCAGATGTTTCCCTTAGTGAAGCAGACTTCAAGGTGGCTCAGGGTGAGGGAAGGTCAGTGTAAAAATAGGGTTTGTGTATAAAACACCCACGTCACAGATTCTCAGCCTGACTTCCATAGGGGCGCTGAAAAGGGGAGGAGCCTGGTCAGGGGGGGCTGATGAGGGGGAGGAGCCTGCAAGGGTGGTGGGGGGTCATCCAGTTTTGTGGATTAGTTGCTATTTGCGATTCCTGTTATCGATAATAAAATAATAATCCTCGGATTTGATATAGCGCTTTTCACATCGGGAGGACGTCCCAAAGCGCTTCACAGAACACACTGTAAAGTGAATTGACTGTATATTTGTGAGCAAATGCAGCAGCCAATTGCGCACAGCAATGTCCCACAAACAGTCGTAGATTGAAAATGACCAATTTATTATTGTTTTTTGTTTTGGAGGGATTATTATTAGGCTCTGTGTGGAGTAAGGAAACTTACCCAAGGTTTGGCCCTGACCTGCCGGGGATTGAACTCAGGTCTCTCACTTGCAAAGCGAGTGCTCTAACCACTGAGCTACAGGGCTCCACTATATCATGTTTGAGTCCCACCCCAGCCGACCGATCAACAAAATAATAATAATTCGATAACATTGTTATTGTTATGATGATGTCTCTGTGCCCATGCCGTGTCTCTGCCCACGCTGTGTCTCTGTGCCCACAAAATCTCTCTGTACCCACAGGCTTGTTTACAAGTGGTTCCTGCTGCTCTACAAGCTGAGTTACGGTACAGGGATCCTGGGCTATGCTGCCGTCATGTTCACACTGTTTGGTCTCAACTTCTTATTTAGGTAAGAGATCTGATTCTTTGTTGAAGGGATTATTACCCCCGGAAAAGTGATCCGACAATTGACTAACAACCAGGTTCCCACTTAATGCTAAGTAAACAGGCATGTGGAGTAAGGAAACTTGTCTCACCCTGCCTGGGAATTGAACCCAGGTCTCTCGCTTGCGAGGCAAGTGCTCTAACCACTGAGCTACAGGACTTCACAATGGGAGAAGTAGCCAAGCAACCAATGTCACATCACAGTCACATCGGTTGGTAGCTGTCTTGCTGTCAGTCAGATTGTGGGTTTAAGGCCCAGATCAGTGCTGGAGCTGTTCTGCCTTGTTGGAGGTGTTTTCCTTTAGATGAGAAGTTAAACCGAGCTGCCGTCTGCGTGTTTGGGTGGACATTAGACATCCAATGGCGCTGTTGGAAAAGAGCAGGGAGTTTCTCTCTCCCAACGTCCTGGTCGACAATCCCCAGATAAAATTGGTTGTTCACTCTGTTTGTGGGACACTGCTGTGCGCAAAACTGGCTGCCACACTTAGCCCACAAGATACACAGACAATCCACTTTACAGTATATCCTGTTTAGGAGTCCTGTAGCATAGTGATTAGAGCTCTCACTTCGCAAGTGAGAGGCCCTGGGTTTGATTCCTGGCGGGGTAAAACGTTGTTTATTATATTATTATTAGGCAAGTTTCCTTTCTGCATATGCCTCTGTTTACCTAGCTGTAAGCAGGAACCCAGTTGTTAGTAATGGCAGATCGCTTTCTGGGGGTAATAATTCCTCCAAAAGAAGTAATAATAATTTGGTCACTCAATCCATGACTGTTTGTGGGACACTGCTGTGCAGAATTGGCTGCCACACCTCGCTCACAAAATATACAGTCACTACACTTTATAGATATTCTGTGAAGCGTTTTCAGACTGGAACTGTAATGCATCTGTGTGTCAGCAGGTGGAGCAGTTTATGCTTAAATAAAGTACAGTGTTGCTATCTGATACAGTCTTCATGTCGTTTAGACGTCTCAAAGCGCTTCACAGGGTGGACTCTCCTCCACCTTCCAGCTCCTCTCCCAACGCAGCAGCACCTACAGCGACTGTGTTTTGCAGGCTAATCAAATAATCCTTATATCTGATGCAGCGCCTACAACATCAAAATGTTCTAAAGCAACTCACAGTGAATTGCTACCGAGTGTAGTGACTGTGTGTTTGTGCTCAGCAAAGACTTGAAATGAGGTGTTTTTTATCTGAAGGATGTTGGCCAGGACACTATTGGCTGCTGCGTTCATCACGAAAAACACACAGACACTGCACTTTCCAATAAACACTTTGAAACTTCTCAACTATGTGATAAGGAACTGTATCAAATGCAAGTAAGATTTATTCCAGTGTCCAGAAATCTTTTATGTTCAACTGAACAGCTGACAGGTGGGACCTTGGTTTAACATCTCGTCTAAAGAAAGACACATTCTATCCCAGCCCTGCACTGGAGTTCAGTCCTGATGTATGAGTGGAGTCCTGTAGCTCAGTGGTTAGAGTGCTCGCCTCACAAGCAAGAGGACCTGGGTTTGATTTCTGGGCAGGGCGAAACATTGGGCAAGTTTCCTTACTCAGTCAGGTTGTCTCTGGTTACTTAGTAAGTAGGAACTTGATCCGAGGGCAATAATCCATCCCAAAAAATTAATCCCAAAAAATAATAAATTGGTCATCCAATCCATGACTGTTTGTGGGACACTGCTGTGTGTAATTGACTGCCGTGTTTCGTCCTGAAAACGCACAGTGACTACACTTTAGCTTAGCGGTTAGGGCACTCGCCTTGCAAGCGAGAGACCTGAATTTGATTCCCAGGTTTGACAAAATCTTAGGCAAGTTTCCTTACTCCACACACCTGTTTACCTAGCAGTAAGTAGGAACCCAGTTGTTAGTCGATTGGCGGATCATTTTCTGGGGGTGATAATCCCTTCAAAAAATAATAATAATAGTTTGGTAACTCAATCCACAACTGTTTGTGGGACACTGCTGTATGCAATTGGCCGCCCACAAAATATACAGTCAATTCACTACAGTATATTCTGTTAAGCTCTTTGAGACATTTTGAAGATGTGATAAGGCACTACATCAAATGCAAGGATTATTATTAGTAGATTAAGTGTAAAAGACCCAATGTGGAACCTGAACCCACATTGTGTCACTCGAGTTGAGCGAGTCATTGACCGAGATACTGACTGAGTCAGGCTGATGCAAACTGTGGATGCCCTTTACAATAAGTCTTACGCTCAGTGAGTCAGTAATTTACGTAAGGTTACCAAAAAGGCTCAGTGAGATCTTAGACTGGTTGTTAAGCAGTGTGTTATTAGGCTGTGGAACATTGCCAAATTAAGCAGAATTCAGAAAAGGGAATTAGACCAATATTCAAAAAAGGAAATGTGTAGTTCTGTAGCTCAGTGGTTAGAGCACTTGTCTCGCAAGCAGGAGACCTGGGTTTGATTCCTGGGCATGGCGAAATCTTAGGCAAGTTTCCTTACTCCACTTCACTCTGTTTACCTAACAGTAAGTAGGAACCCAGGTTGCTTTCCGGGGGTAATAATCCTTCAAAATAAATAATAATTTGATCACTCAATCCACACCTATTTGTCGGGCGCTGCTGTGTGCAATTTGCTACCGCGTTTCAACTCACTTTACAATGGAGTCTCAAATGCAAGGATTATTATTATTGTCTCCTTTTCTAACTTATTCCTAATCAAACCCAGGCCCTCTTGCTTGTGAGGGGCATACTCTAACCACTGAACTGCAGGACTCCACGACTGGGAGCTCAAAGCCCTGACTTGGGAGGTTGAACCCACAACCTCTCCATTTTTTGGGGGGTTCAGCTGGGTGTCTGACACATGTGGAAACCCATCACCATGCTTAAAAGCCTCCAAACCAAGCTGAGAACTTGCTGCATCCCACCTACACATGGAAATCCCACAGATAAATTGTTGGCAAGCTTTCCCGCTGCTTGTCCAGTTAGGACCACCCTACCCGTTTGGGCTGTGGCTGTGGGGTTAACAGGAGCCGAGTGGGATGTCTCCCTATCCCCGGTGACTGGTCGGCCCTTCCAGGTCCTGCTGATGAGCCCGGCCGGGCTGTGCTGCCATCGGCAGTGAGTGCCCTGGAGTCCTGCGGCCCCTCCCGGCTCAGGACCCGGACTGGAGACCGGCACAGAGGTGGGGCTTGATGGCGAGGTGAGAGTGGGAAAGCCTGAGCCGGGCTGACACTTGCAGTTGTGACAGTGATAGTTAACCCTGGGTTTATCAGTGAGTGGTGACATTACCTTGTTGACACATTACAGAATAAAGCCAGAGGAAGCCATGGACTTTGGGGTGTCGCTACTGTTTTACGGGCTGTATTATGGGGTGCTTGGCCGCGACTTCGCCGAGATGTGCGCTGACTTCATGGCCTCCACTGTGGGGGTAAGTCCCCGACTGAGTTACTGGGGATCTGGGGGAGTGGTTGGGGCCAGTAAAGTCCTGCACACAGCCATGTGGTGAATTAATGAGAGATTATCGGCCAGGAAACTGGGAAAGAGAGGGAAACAGAGAGAAACTCCTGTCTTTTTTCCCGATAACACCACAGGAACAGGGCACAGACGGGAGCTCAGTTTTTAACTTCTCACCTGAAGGACAGCATCTCTTACAATGTGGCACTCTCTCTCTTCCCACCAGCCTGGACTGTGTGTCAGAGTGAGTGTGTGTCAGAGTGAGTGTATGCTAGAGTGAGTGGGGTGTCTGTTAGAGTGAATATGTCAAAGGGAGTATGTGTTAGTGTGTGTGTGTCAGAGTGAGGGTGTGTCAGAATGGGTGTGTGTTAGAGCGGTTGTGTGTTAGCGTGGGTGGGTGTTAAAGTGACTGTGTGTTAGTCAGTGTGTTTTACTGTGAGTCTGTAAGAGTGAGTTTGTGTGAGAGTGAAGGTGTGTCAGAGTGTGTGTGTGCTAGTGAGTGTTTGTTAGTGAGTCTGTGTTAGGGTGATGGTGTGTTATCCCTCCACAGTATCGCTCCCCCCCCACTACCTCTGCAACCTCCTAACCCCCTTCCGTCTTGCTCGCACTCTCCAGCCTGCTTCACGTCCCCCACATCACTCGCCCCACTATTGGCGGGTGGGCCTTCTGCCATTCTACCCCCATCCTCTGGAACTCCAGTCCCTCCGTCTCGCCCCCTCCCTTGCCACCTTCAAGACCCATCTCAAGACCCTTTTCTTTGACCATGCTTTCGATCGCCTTGTATCACAACCCTGTATGTGAATGTATGTTTGTGAGTATGTGTTTGAGTGAGTGTGTGGGTGGGGGGTGGGTCACAGTGTGGGTGGGGGGGGTTCACAGTGTGGGTTGGGGGTCTCAGTGTGATGTCCTGTGTTGCAGTATTATAATGCCTCAGGGATCCCGACGAAACACCTGTCTGACGAGATTTGTGCCGTCTGTGGTCAGAAAATCTTTGTGGATGTCAATGAGGAGGGCATCATAGAGAATACCTACAGGCTGTCCTGTAACCATGTGTATCCTTCAGCCCCCCCCACCCCTTGCCTCACATGGGGGAGAGAGCAGGGGATGTGGGAAGAAGGGGTTGGGGGGGCTTGGGCTGGGGGGGTGGGGGCGCTGGGGTGGCGGCGCTGTGGCTGTGGCGGATGGGGGGACTGGGGGGTGGGGGCCTGGGGGGGTGGTGGGGGTGGGGGGGCTGGGGGGGTGGGGGGCTGGGGGGGTGGGGGCGCTGGGGCTGGGGGCGGTTGGTGGGGGGCTGGGGGCGGTTGATGGGGGGGGTGGGGGCGCTGGGGCTGCGGTGGGGGGTGCTGGGGCTTTGGGGGTATGGTGGGAGCGCTGGGGCTGGGGTGAGGGGTGCTGGGGCTTTGGGGGGTGGGGAGCACTGGGGCTGGGGGGTGAGGGGAGCACTGGGGCTGGGGGGGGTGGGGGGAGCACTGGGGCTGGGGGGGTGGGGGAGCACTGGGGCTGAGGGGAGCACTGGGGCTGGGGGGAGCACTGGGGCTGGGGGGGGTGGGAGGAGCACTGGGGCTGGGGGGGTTGGGGGGAGCACTGTGGGTGGGGGGGTGGAGCTGGTGTTGTCCTTGACTTGTGGACGGTACAGATTCCATGAGTTCTGTATCCGCGGATGGTGTATTGTGGGGAAGAAGCAAACGTGTCCGTACTGTAAGGAGAAGGTGGACCTGAAGAGAATGTTCAGCAATCCGTATCCTTCCGCCCCGACTAACCCCCCTCCTCCGCACAGCGTATCCTTCCTCACCGACTAACCCCCCTCCTCCGCACAGCGTATCCTTCCTCACCGACTAACCCCCCTCCTCCGCACAGCGTATCCTTCCTCACCGACTAACCCCCCTCCTCCGCACAGCGTATCCTTCCTCACCGACTAACCCCCCTACTCCGCACAGCGTATCCTTCCTCACCGACTAACCCCCTCCTCCGCACAGCGTAATCCTTCTTCACCGACTAACCCCCGCTCCGCACAGCGTATCCTTCCTCACCGACTAACCCCCCTCCTCCGCACAGCGTATCCTTCTTCACCGACTAACCCCTAGACTCCGCACAGCGTATCCTTCCTCACCGACTAATCTCCAGCCTCCGCACAGCTTATCCTTCCTCACCGACTAACCCCCCGCCTCCGCACAGCGTATCATTCCTCACCGACTAACCCCCCCACCTCCGCACAGCGTATGCTTCCTCACCGACTAACCTCCAGCCTCCGCACAGCGTATCATTCCTCACCGACTAACCCCCCACCTCCGCACAGCGTATGCTTCCTCACCGACTAACCTCCAGCCTCCGCACAGTGTATCCTTCCTCACTGACTAACCCCCAGCCT